TTACAAGTTACAATCTTGTCGCATCCATTTCAGTGATCCACATTCAAGCCCAAGGCGGGCGGATCAGTGGTAGCGCCTGCATGCTCGTTGCTCGTTGCTCATGAATGCACGAACACGAAGAGCTTCTAGGGGCAGAGAACTCTCGTTGCCTGAAGGGCAGAATTGAGCTTCTAGCATTCTGCTTTGCGGACTGTCCCGCTATTGCAGCTCAAATCTTGCGCACGTTGTAGTGGCACTGACGGAGCGGCATTGATTGAAGCAGAGAGTCAAGCAGATTGATTCTGTCGCTACCACCACCGCATATTCAAAAGATGGCTACCTCAGCACTGAAATTGCAGATTACGGCCGGGGCATGCCAGTGGGTCAATACATGGCAGACACGGTCCGGGGATCAGTATCTGAAGTCAACGCGTCCCAGAACGATTTTGAATGAAAAGGTAAGGAATCTCGGATCTCCTCGATTGGCAGCAGGACCTCGATTATCCTCAGAAAGATGTCACATAATCACGTCATTGTGTGCAAAATTGCTGAACGTGTCTTTGGCTTTACAGAAGTTCCTTGGAAGTGGTGGCAAACTGTCGGAGAATGTTGCCAGGGAGAAGGTTTATCAACAACAGAAGAGAAGCCTGGTTCGCTCCAGACAAAGCCCAAGCGGGGCTGGCCAAATGCTGGTGAGAAGCCCCATACTTGAAGTCATTAGAGAGGTGATGCAATTATCATAGCTGGGCAATGACACACCATCAAATGGAAGTGGTTACTTGATAGTTAGCCACTCCTTTCAGGATTCCCTTCCTAATTACAGACCACGCGCATATTGCACAAATACATGCAAGTTCCATTATCTTTTGCAAAGAGCTTGCAGATGCAACATTCATGAGGACTGTCAGTGAAAATCAATCCTGACTGCTTGGCAGGTGTACGTCCCCCCACACCCGCTCATCAAACACTGGATGGCGGTCCTTCGGAACAAGGACACCCCGCAGCCAATCTTTCGTAAGTCCATTGACATCGTCGCTTGCAAGTGTTATCTACTGTTAGAAATATGGATTTCATGTTGATGATGTTAATTCTTGTGCATGCAGCCTGGCACACACAATCATCGCCCACTTGAAGTGTGCGTCTGCACTCGCGAGTATATCTGGACATTGGATGGTCCTAACTACCGGGTTGAATCTATCGGACGGCTCAAAATTGGCCTCTTCGAGCCTCCCTCCAGTGCTCCTCAGGACTCAGTCTCATTAGTGTGCTTGTAAAATCTGACGCCCACTTTAAGATTGGAAATGCTTGTTTGCAGGTAGCGCGCTCGCAGAACTGGGCCGGTGCCTGATCTACGAAGCGCTCCGGGACTGGCTGGTAAGCCATTCCAGAAACAGGGTCTTAACGACAAGTCCCATCATGGATGTCTTTCCTTGAAATATTCAAAAGTCCAAGCCAGTCCACTTTGTTGCTGAAGTGCTTCCATCCATTGTCCCATGTTGATGCACCCAACATTGTGTTCTGCAGCCTATGATCGAAACACAGGTTGAGACGCCCTGCGGAGTCGCAGACGTGGCCTTCATCGACCCCACGGAGCCTGTGAAAGTTGTTCCCATTTTGAGGGCTGGCCTGGTGCTGATAGAGAACTCCACCACCCTTCTTCCTGCCATGCAAACATACCACCTAGGTAAGCTTCCTTATGGTTGTATGTTTAGCTGCCTCGTTCCCTTGCAGATCTGTTCCGGTCAAAGCGAAATCATCTGTAGTCTACCTGTCCATGAGTGCACTGTGACATCAATTCACTGACGGATCAGCGCCGTGTCAAAATTCATTCATTGGGTTTGCTAATTGCTTCGTGGTTGCCTACAGGATATGCTCGCGATGAACGGACGTTAAAACCTCGCCTCTATCTCAACAAGTGAGGCTCCATCCGTGAGACTCCTCTAGATCCTCCATTCGACCATTCATCTTTCTTGTAGGACAAGTCGAGTGTCCATCAGAGGAAAGCACTGTCGACCTCTATTAGTAGATTAGTTGGTAGAAGAGGTGGCATACTAGACTGGGAGTGTCCTTAGGAAAGTTTGCAAAGTTAGACAATCTCTGAGGTTTGAAAAGCGCTTTTTGCGTTATGCAGGCTTCCGCCAAGCTTTCCGCAAGACTCCCGGATTCTTCTAGCGGACCCAATGCTTGCGACAGGTAAGACGGCCCTCTCACCTCTGAAATGGGCGGCGCCAGCCCCCCTAAGGCAGTAACTTTCGAAGGGGAGAGTCAACATCGTCTAGAGAGTATGATTGTCCGAATGGTGGCTGTGGACTCTAGTATCCGTAAACAATGAGTCTTCATATCCTGCTTTTGTTGGAAAGCATGCGCAATCGAACGAAGGGGGTCCGGACTCCCTCTGTTAACCAAAAGCAGAGGTCGGAAAAGCACGTATGTGTCGCGGAGGTCCGACAATTGAAAGATTGCACGAAGCCATCAGCTTGTACTTGTGACGTGGATGTTTCCAGAAGAGTTCGTTGTCCTAGGTCAGGATAAAATACATGTTTGTCTGTAGCTCAGCTGCTTTTCAATGCCTCCACAATTGATCACTGTACGTCCTTTTCACAATCAGTCGAAGGTGCCGTCGATAACCGACAACCGAATGCGAATCGTACTCTTCTTTTTGCTCCTTCCTCCAGGTGGAACGATTGTAGCTGCGATCGAAGAGCTAAGAAGTAGAGGAGCGGACGTCCGACTCATGAGAGTGGTAAGCGGGGTCTCCTTTGATTGCTCGGATCTGTCGGACCCTAGAATAAGCTCGTTCGCTTATGTGTAGATGAAGAAAACGCATCTTGTTGTTCTGGTCTTGACATCTGAATGAGTCTTTTCTTTGCGTCAAAGCTAGACAAGCTCATGCTTTCGCTCATGGATTCGCAGGTTTCGGCTGTCTGCGCTCCCCCCGCCTTGAAGCTTTTGAGCGAAAGGTACCCAGGGTAAGGGAATTCTACCATGGTCGCAGAGCCTTCAGCTTTTGAGGTTTAAAAATCACTGCCTTGTAACCCTGTTCTGTTTATTCTTCCATTTCGCTGCTGCCTACAATCACCAAATATATCGAGAAGATGGTCATTCACGTTCGATACTGTGCTAAGGTCCCAAAGACGCGTCATCCACTTTTCTGCAGTTTGAAGGTGTACACTGGCATCATCGATCCAGATCTGAACGACTATGGGTAAGTTTGATTCAGAAAGTGCCAACCCGAAACTGAAAGTCTTTGGGTCACGTGTCGACTGAATGGCTGAGCGCTCATCTCCGGTCCTCCGGACCAATGACATCGCTTCGATGGATCACGTGGTAGGAAAAGTACAGACCTGGTACATATTTCTGCTAGAGAGGCAGTGTACAGAGCTGTATGCGGACCGGAGATGCGAAGCTGGTGGGCCTAGCAGTTTTCGGTCGATGCGAAACCTTAGCTTTTTCTGTCCTTCTGCTCGAGAACAGTGCAAGTTTGAGGTTTGAGTGCAGGATGATGCTGGGTTTTGGTCATAGTTTAGCGCAAACTCCTGTGGCCTGAAAGTCCATTTATTGCTTCCATGCAGGTTCATTGTCCCAGGCCTCGGCGATGCTGGTGACAGGAGTTTTGGAACCTAACGAGATGTACCTTCTGTTTTGCTGGAGCTTTCTCAGCATCTGCAAGGTGCCCAACTCAGAATTCTTGAGGGACTCGGAGGTGCTCATTGCGGAACTCTTGTCGGGGGCTTCTCCCAGCAGTCATAAGATGGCTCGCTCCTGCGGACAGAGTTCCTCTTTGTCTGCAAGTAAGGCAACTTGCCATCACGATACGCCTTGTTCCAGTGGCTGCATAAGAAGATTGAAATGCTTTGATGCTGCTCTGCAATGGCTCATGTTACAATGTCTCTGACGAACTTACTCTTGAATCCTAGAGTAGCCTCGATGCGATGCATGGTAGTGCAAACGATTCAAACAAGGTGCCTACCCGCATGCTAGAGCCAGTTTCTCTAAGTGTGAAGGACACATCCATCCTGGCTGCAGCTAAGCATGTGATTGATCGATTGTTGGATGGATCGTGTATCCAAGGCATGTAGATTGAAATGAATGTATGTGCATGAGCCTGCACGATCAACGCGCCGCGGCCGCCCGCGCGCATCCGCGCGTGAACATGCAAATGCCACTGGAATTCGGCACATGAAAAGTATATACGCCATAGCGTTGTTGAAGAGGCGTGCAAGCCCGCCCCCAACTTTTTAGAGAAATCCAAGTTTCCCACCTGTCAGAGAAAGATTGCTTTGCAGGATGAGGTACAATTAGCTGTCGATGCTCCCAAACAGGGGTGCGGACAGAATTTTGCCCCGGGGCGCTT